GTAATATAGCTGAATTCAGGGTAGAACATTTCACCACTTTGCAGTAATGACAACTAGCAGCCCAGTGGGTGACATTCTATGGCTCATGAAACACAGTGGAGCAAGATAATAGTTCTTGTTGCCCATAACCCTCATAGGATTTCTTATGGTGCATGTTGTTCTCCTAAAATAACAGCTCCGTTGCCAAAATCTCTCAGGTTTATCCAAGCTTAAGCAGAGTGAAATGAGTTGAAAGCAGTGGTTTTTTCCCTGGGGGGAGGATGCAGGGGTACACATACCCCTAAACATTTTGTGAATCTAAGTTTGGCCTCATTGAGGGGCAGTATTTCAATATGAGCGGGAAAATGGGAGTACCCCTAAACATTTTTTTAGAAAAAAAGCACTGGTTGAAAGGAAGATAAGAAGTCCCAAGCCAGTTAAAACTCCTCAAACAATACAGCGGTATCTCTGGTTACGTACTTAATTCATTCTGGAGGTCCGTACTTAACCTGAAACTGTTCTTAACTTGAAGCACCACTTTAGCTAATGGGGCCTCCTGCTGCTGCCGTGCCACCGGAGCACGATTTCTGTTCTCATCCTGAAGCAAAGTTCTTAACCCAAGGTACTATTTCTGGGTTAGCAGAATCTGTAACCTGAAGTGTATGTAACTCGAGGTACCACTGGATCTAGATAGGCCACCACTGACCTGGTGCCCTCCAGGTGCCTTGGTCTATAACTCTTGCCAGCATGGCGGCGATGAAGGGGGGAAACAGTGGTGTCTTTCTGCTGGTGGCATCACCACACTCATTAGTTGGGGAGAGGGCAGGGCAAAGTGGCAGCAGAGAAGTGGGAGGAATCTGTGGTCTTAACCCTGCAGCTATACATACATCTGTGAGATGCCATCACCTACCGGGAGCTCCTCCAACCTCCCCCACACCAACTACTCTGGGTTCCTTCCACAGTAGTTCCTCTATCTGGTCACTGGGTTTTTACAGGGAGCCCACACAATACTGCTAACAGATTGTTCCACTCTGTCTGGCTGTGTTTTTGCAGAAGTAATTTGTGTTGCTTTGGAGTAATAAAACACAAATGATGCATCAGCCTGTGTAATATGGACAAGCAAAATCCTTTTGAGGATTTTAAAGGTTACTGTACTTTTTGCTGAAAGTTGTATATCCACAAGGCTACTCCATTTTATTGTTTGCTCTTTGGAGTGGTTGTGTGTGACCTTTAAATGGGCAGGATTCAAGTCTTGTCAGCAGAAGGATGTCTGCATGAGCAATGCGGCTTTCTGCCTCTCCTCCACAACTGGCTCGGGGTGTGTGTGTCAAGAGAGCCCCCTGGAACAGCACAAAGGAGAGGGGGATTATTCCATCTGGCAAAGGAAAATGCTTCCCTGACAAAACGATCCCCTTATGGATTCTCCCTATGAATTTATTTAGAGGCATTTATACCCTTTGCCACGCAGTCTTGACTCCCAAGACGGGTTACATACAGCTCAATACAATTAAACCATAAATTAATACCCCACCTTTGGAGAAAGTTTCTCCTCAGAGCAGCTTACAACAATACTTAAAATCACAACATTATTACAATATGTAAAATAGTCATGGAATGACTATTCTAAAAATAAAGCCAATAGCCAACTATAAATCAATTTAAAAACCAAGGCCGAGCATTGAACAGCAATGTACATTAACTCCTAAAGGTTCTCAAGAGGAAAACAGTTTTCAAGGATCTAGTAAACGTTGATGATGATGAGGCCTGCCTCATCTCAGAAGAAAGTCACTGCAGAAACGGCTCAATTGTGCATGCCTTTTTGGGTGGGCCTTTAGGCAAGATCTCAAGGTACAGACAGTTTGGTATGGGTATAGGTGATCTCCACTAACCTGCTCCCAAACTGCCCAGGGCTTTGAAGATCAGAACCAGCACTTTGAATTGAGCTGGAAGGGCACTAACAACCTGCACAACTAGTACATTATAAGCATAAAATGTTCTGACCACCTAGTCCCTAAAGGAAGTCAGCTGCCTAATTTTGCATCAGCTGAGTGCATCAAATAATCTTGAAAGGCAGGCCTATTTAAAGTTTATTTCAGTAATCTATTCTGGATGTGACAATTAAAAACAAAAGAATTGCCTCCTGGATCCGGACAGTGGCCCACCAGCATACTGGTCTCACTGTGGCCAGCCGGATGCCTGGATGTGCACAGGTAAGCCTACTTCCATTCAAAGGCCAAAAAGAGCAATCGCTCAGCAGCACTAAATGCTCTAGCAAGCAAGGTCTCTTGAATGTTGTTAGCAAAGTTTGCTTTAAGACAAAGGGACAGCCGTTTGTTACAAAAGGTTGTTCTTTGACTTCCAGGAGCCTTTCGTCTTGGCTTACAGATGGTGTTGTGATGGGTGTGCAACCGAGACATTTTCTGGAAAATCCCTGAATATAGAAATTGCTACTGATACAGAACTGTGTATGGGCAATCCATGTGGAATATAAATTGGAATCTGTATGTAGCCAGTCAGGCAAGCCACACAGGCTAGCAGGCTAACTATCTATAAATCAGATAATTTTGGGCATAGTTTATGAGAAGCTCGTGCACCGACTGATCCAGCCATGGGGCTGTGCAAACTGAGGCTACCTGGGGAGTCACTTTGCCACTTCTTGAGGACTTCCAAGTGGCAGATTGAGGTACTTGCTTGGCATGTATAGATTGCTTGCTGTTTAGAATAAAATCTTCTCATTCACTTGTGTTTTGTATTACGTCTGAATCTCATTTTAAAAGAACCACCTTGCATTTGGCAAGATAATGTTTTCCTGAACTTCTGAACTGTTTTGATGGTTAGTCAGTATGGGGTGTGTACATTCCTCGTTCAAGAATGTCCTAGCCATTCAAAAGTATTTGAAGGATCTGCTAATCATTATCCTTTGTACTGTTTGTTTCCTTGAAGCTCACCTATATATTTTAATATGGAACCTGAAACTTGACTCCAAACTGGTTTTAGAAATATGGGGAAATATCCAGCCTTTCTTTGCAATGCAACCCTCTGGATAAACCAACTGAGCTTTACAAATAAGTTGCTGTTTGGTAAATTCAAAACACAATCCTTTACCCAGTAAGAGCAAGAGTTTCTCTCTGCATCTCTATGAAATAGTGAATGAATGGTTGTGTGTTGTGTATCAGTTATGTATGAGAGAGAATATACTGTTGGTATAGTGGCCCCTGAAGGTTATCCTCAAGGTCCCTGCCTTCCCACACTGGGAAGCAGCAGGAGATGTGATGACAGGTGTGGCAAGACTGAATGATGGGAGAAGTCTGGCAGGAACCTGTCCTTGTCTGTTCTGAAGCAAATATAACCCCCAAGCAAGCAGTTGCTCCATTTGCGCTCTCCACCTCTGTCATTTTTGTGAACAAATTGACTTCTAAAGGGTATTTCTTTCCTCCATGCCCTCAGACCAAACCTTCTTTGGACATGCAACTGCCCAACACACACAGTGTATGAACTTGATGACCCAACAGCAGCATGGCCAACCTACCAACTCCCACAGTGATGGCAACACATTTCCCACCTGCTGCAATCTCTGGAACTGCTGCAGGGCATAGCCATGTTTGCCTGGCTAAAGGGCTCATCAGGGAATGGTATTTGAGTACTGGTGAACGGCCTCTCAGCACTGCACTGTGCTCTTTTGCCTTGCTTTAGAGACTTGGAGCCAGATCTTTAATCCAACCAAGGGGTGGGTAGGGCCAGCAGCCCACCCACAAGGCAAGGCAACCGCCTCAGGTGGCAGGATCCATAGGGGCAGCACATCCAGGCTCACAGAAGCCAACTCCTAGGGCTCAATGTCCCTTTGGGCTTCATTTGAGGGGACCGCACCACATGTTAATGAGCATTGCTATTCAAATGGTGGGGGGTGTCAGGTGATCAATTCTATGGGGCAGAGCTTACCTCTGTCTGGGCTCCAAGGGATTGCTCACTGCTGCTGCTGCAGTGACAGTGACAGAGCGCAGCAGCACGCGCCTTGGAGACTGGATCTGCTGTCCCCTTGGCAGCCCCCCCCATGCTGCCTCTACAGTAGCCTCTTGGTGAATAGGACTCACTGCTGGTCTCCTCCCTCCCTTGTTCCCTTCACTCACGCCTTCTCCCTAAGGCGGGGGTGGGGGGGGGAGCAGCACCATTTGTGGTTTGCCTCAAGGGCCAAAATGTCATGGGCTGGCCCAAGCAAATGCTTCAGAAGGATTTTCGTCAGGTCTGCAGCAGGAGAGGCACTCTATGTCTCCACCACTGTGAAGATGAAAAGGGACGAACCAGAGATACCACTGTATACCCCCAAAAAGCAAAACATCCCCCTGAAGTAGCTACTACCCTGTGCCTGCCCCATAACCACTTCTGATGATTTAATGTTTCTCTGGAGGCTCACACGAAATTTGTGGACATATGTAACTAGCTATCAGGAAGAAGGAGCCTATCTGAGAGACTGCATTCTCTCATGCAAACCTGCCTGGGCTTGGAGATCTTTTGGGGAGGCCCTTCTCTTGGTCCCACCACTTTGGACCTTCCTCTCTAGAGAGGCTAGACGGGCTTCCTCCTTGTTCTCCTTCAAGGGGCAGCTGAGGACTTTCTTGCCCCAAGGGGCTTTTGGGAAGTGACCGCCTTGCAGTTTTCATTGTAAGGATTTTATGTGTTCTTTTATGTGTATGTATTTTAATTCCACTAATATTTAACCGTGTTTCGGTTACTGCGTTTCTTTCTGTATGTTTTCAGCTGCTTCGATTTTAGTTGTAAGCAGCCTTGAGTCCCCTTATGATGCTAACAGTCCTCCCTCATATCAAGATCCACTCTTCCTCCTTAGTCACAGGGTTTTGTTCCATCTACTTCGGATACGACGGTGGCTCCATTCGGGAAGCGCTCCCCTCCAATTGGAAAGTGGTACAGCCCAGACGCAGGCCGGCCACCTTCTCCTCGGATGGGGAAGGGAAGGGGAAAGGCCCATTCGGCGAGGCGAAGGGGCGGGGAGCCCGAGGGAAGAGGAAGCCGGGGAGCGACGGGCGCGGGGTTGGGAGGCCGCGTCGGGGGCGCGCGCGCTCGGGCAGCCCCTCCCTCCGCCGCTCTCCGGCTGGGCGTGGGACTGCGCGCTACGGAGGGCGGGAGGAGGGCTTTGATGGATTGAACTGCAGTTGCGGGGCTGGAGGCTGGCAAGGAGCCGCTGGGAGCGCGCGCGGTCGGGGCTTCCTCCCGGGCGCCTCGTCGGGGAAGGAGGCCTCTTCCCTCGGGAAGGTGGGCAGAACCCAGCAGGAAGAGGAGGAGGAGGGCGCCGCCGCCGCCGCCGCCGCTTCCCGCCTGAAAAATGAATGAATGGGCCGGGAGGCGCAGCTGAGCCGCCGCCGCCGCCGGAGCCCCGAGTCTCTCCGCCTCCCTCGCGGCTGGAAGAAGGTCTCGCCGGCGAGCCGCCTTTGTTCGGCGCTCGGCAGGGCTGCGGAGTCATGAGCGCCGCCGGCGGCCGCCGCTCGGAGCCGGGCGCGTGGTGAGAAGGCGCCGCCGGAGCGAGGCCAGGCTCGCCTCCCCGCCAGATCCGGGAGGAAGCTGCGCCCGGCGCAGGAGGCTCTTTCGGCGAGCCGGCGCTCCGTCCCCCGGCCGGCGCGTCCGCGGCGCCATGGGGAACATCTCCTCCAACATCTCCGCCTTCCAGTCGCTGCACATCGTCATGCTGGGCTTGGACTCGGCGGGCAAAACCACGGTGCTGTACCGGCTCAAATTCAACGAGTTCGTCAACACGGTGCCCACCATCGGCTTCAACACGGAGAAGATCAAGCTGAGCAACGGCTCGGCCAAGGGCATCAGCTGCCACTTCTGGGACGTGGGCGGCCAGGAGAAGCTGCGCCCGCTCTGGAAGTCCTACAGCCGCTGCACCGACGGCATCATCTACGTGGTGGACTCGGTGGACGTGGACCGGCTGGAGGAAGCCAAGACGGAGCTGCACAAAGTCACCAAGTTCGCCGAGAACCAAGGCACCCCCTTGCTGGTCATCGCCAACAAGCAGGACCTGCCCAAGTCGCTGCCGGTGGCGGAGATCGAGAAGCAGCTGGCGCTGCACGAGCTGACCCCGGCCACCACCTACCACGTCCAGCCCGCCTGCGCCATCATCGGCGAGGGGCTCACCGAGGGCATGGACAAACTCTACGAGATGATCCTCAAGCGCAGAAAGTCCCTCAAGCAGAAGAAAAAGCAACGGTAGACCAGAGAGCCCGAAAGGAAGCTGCGGCGACACGTCCCTTACGGAGCAGCAGATGAATGCCTGGGCCCATCCACCTCTCCATGCTGACCCAGACCCCTTCCGTTGCTTCCCCATTAAGAGGCAGGGTATCGTTTTCGTGCTGGCTGGCACTCGGGATGCAGGTCAGATCTGCGCATGTCCGCTTCCCCCTCCCGCTGCGAAGCCGCCATGAGCCCCAGGCAGAGGAGGGATCCCGCCTCGCCTGAGTTTTCCCATTCTAGCAGGACTAGAATACAGGCGAGGACCACATGGTTTTGTCAGCTGCTTCCGTCCCTGTGGACTAACCTACACAACGCATACCCTTGTTTAAATTCCTCTGGAAGGTGTCTTTTTAACTAGATATGGATCTATGTAATGGGAAGAAAGGACTTCGGGAGATGAAAGCCAGAAGGCTGGATAGCGCAGGGCAGGACCCTGTTTCATCTGGATTAAAGTTTGTGCTGCCATCTCAGGATCTCGGTAGAAGCCCAAGGTGATGTGTGCATGAAGAACTAGACTTAAGAAATATTGCTTGATAGGGAAAAGATGCTGTGGTTGGGAGGGAAAAAACTGATGCAGATCAGAGTACATCTTCAGTGTATATTGCTTCAATGGCTCATTGAAGCCAGCCTTTGTGGAAACTGTTTTCGGTCCTAAGATAAGATAGACATCGCCAAGGTATTTATGGTCTGGCATTGTGTCGGGTTCTTATTACCACAGTCCACATGATGTGGTGCTACTTCCTGGAGTGACGTGTGTTCTGAGAAAAGTGTCCCTGCCATTTCAGTTGGGTGTGCAGCAGTGCCTGAAAGTGGGGGGGGGGGGGCAAGGAGGACAGCCCTTTAGGCTTCGTTCAGAACGCAACACCCATGTACTGCTGTGTTAAAAGAGAATTCTGTATGTTGATTGTGTGTTGATGCACTTGAATTGTAAAATCTTGAGCTGCCTGGATCCTTTGTGACCTGCGGCTGCTGCCCGGTGCTGTGTCTAAGCATTATGCTAACAGATTTTATTATCTTTTCATAACCAGTCTATACACTGTAGCAATAACCAGGAAAACATTTTCTCAATCATACTTTCTTACTGTAACATTTGACTGCAGACATCCCACCCCTTCTTCACTAAATCCAATCAGACTTAAATACTCTGACTGGCCTTTCAATCTATTAGTGCATCATTCTAATGATTTTCATGAACCAGAGGCCCAGCTCACTGCAGCAATGAGAAGCAATGGGTTTTGGGAGGAAGCCCAAATACACTTTGACTAAGCTGATGAAGTACAAAGACGGATTCCGTACCAAGTGGATATTCTGAAAAGAACAAATATTTTGTGTAAGTGAGAGAACTGCCCCCTCCCCCCCCCCCCCCCGGGCTGACAAGTCACCTCAATGGGTAGAATTCTGAGTTCCATCAGTGAAAGCATTTGAGTTTGCTAGCCCCTCCCTTCGCTGTTCTGAGGGGGTTCTCTCAATCCTCCAGAGTGGATTTACAGGGAGGGGGAAGGGGGAAATCCCAATTCCTCTAGTGTGAGAACCTGTGCAGGGCTCCCAAACAAGAGACAGGTTAGATGAATCCTGCCCATTTTTTCTTTTTCAATCCATGGTTAGTTATGCTGCTAAGCATAAAGAAAATGGCAAGAATACTCCCCCATTGTAGGATTCCTATGGATTTCTGCAGTCCAGGAGAAATTGGTATTGTTTACATGGGTTCTCATCCTGCAAAACTAACAGTGCCATCCTATACGTGTCTGTACAGAAGTAAGACCCATGAAATAAATGGGATTTTCTCCACGGTATTGCAGGTAACAGGATTGCAGACCCTTGGAATTCCATGGGACTCACTTCTAAATAGGCATGTATAGGATTGCACTGTAGGGCTGCAGCTATAGTCATACAGTTGTACCTCTTGTTACGTCAGTCTCCGGCTGCATTTTTTCAGGATACGAATGCGGCAAACTCGAAAGTGTATACTTCCAGGTTTTGTCGCATGCGCATGCACAGAAGCGCTCTGTGCACCTCGCACATGCGCAGAAGCGGCACTCTAGTTGCAGACTTTTCTGGGTGCGAACAGCACCCCGGAACAGATCGAGTCCGTAACTAGAGGTACCACTGTACTTAACCTCAGAGCAAGTTCATTTAGTTCAGTGGTATTTACATCTGAGCAAACATGCATAGACTCAGGTATGCACACTTACTTGGGACCAAGGACCATTGAGCATGGACCTCTGAGTGAACATGCCTAGGATCAGTTGCACAGCCAGAGATAATACAGTAAGACTATCAGGAAAACAGATTCATGAGAAGTTGGGAAGGGAGTTTGATCATCTTTCCTAGAATGGTTATTATAAAGGGTTTGCGTGACAAGCCCCTTCGTGTATTAAAAAGCCTGTAAAAAAGAAAGCTTACATGCCACATGAGAGAGTTACACCTGTGGTTCACTGATTTTAGCTTACTTAACTTCTGGAGCTATGATTATCTGTTTTCTGCTTTAAAATGTCCCTTCCAGAAACAGCAACAGAAGAAGCCTAAATTGCCAAAGGAAGAGGAGAAAGGGGATCTAATAAATGATTTTCCCCTTTCACAGCAAGCTTACTTAAAAGGTCTTTGTAGGAATCCATGTAGGAATTGCCGACTTCTTTTCTTGCAGGGCTTCTGAACCTTTTTACAGCTGCATATTAGGTAAATATTCAGAAAGCCAAGTTCTTGGGTTTGTTCCCACTGTTGTAATTTCATGTTAGAAAAAGTTTTACCTGCTGAATGTTTGCCTATTGTGCAACTGTTTAGGGTACAGGAGCCCTGTTAGATAAGAGGTTAGCTGGTAACCTCTGCAGTCAAGTATTACTTACATGCCTGGAGAATTCTAGTTACACGCATAGAAACTTGTTCATTGATCTACAGAGCGGGCTGGTCCCATTGTTTTAGAACACCATAGAACTGTGGTTGTTGTTTTTTTAAATTGTTTTTATCTTCTTCCACTCACAGCTCTCTCAAGCACATTTGTTACCTCATTACTGAGAGAGACACAGAGAGAATATATTTATTTTGAAACAATATTAAAAGCCAAATGCTGTAATTTTGTAAACACTGTTTAGGAATTAGAAAATACTGCTCAGATCAAACTCCACTGTGCCATAAAAGCCAGTGAGTATGGGTTCTTTTGTCATTGGCACAAAATGTTTCTTACAAGCCTTAGAAACAATTTCTAAAAGCTAAGTTATCACATAATCTGCTCCTGCAGACCAAGTTGCACAGGTGCTAAGTGACTGGTGCTTAGGCCTTTATCACCCCAGTTCAGCAATACAAAGTATTAGATATGCCAATCTCTCTGTTGGACCAACTTCAGTTGGCACAGGAGTATGCAGACTTGCGAGTTATACAGAGATCTTCATCCAGCAGAATGGAAAGGATGTGGATGGATAACACCCATAAACATTTAAACACTTCTGTTTGGTGAAAACAACAAGCCTGAAAGATCTTACACATTTTCTGTGACCCATAAGGCACCTATATGGTCTTTGAAGCAAAGCATTTAAACATATTCCTGGCCTGGTGGAAGCATATGCACCTCTTAGGCAGAAATCCTGTAGACCTTTACCTGGGAGTAAGTCCTACTAAGCTTTGAGGAACTCATTTCTGAGTAGACGAATGTAGGATTGCACTGTCAGGCACTTACTTCCTTAACTGAGACCAGTAAATGGGAGTTTGAATGCCCAGTTGGTGCCCCTAGCATGCAGACTGCTTTTTACTGCCAGTTGTTTTCTTGTTATGAATAGCCAGCACAGCCTTTCCTCTAGCCAAAAACAGTCCTGACAGGCATCTTCGTTAGTAAATTGCCTGAACTAAGGTGGCAAAAACACCTTGCCATTAAAGCTTTATATTTGACCCTCCTTTGAGAACAAATTCTTCCCACTCCCAGTTATTTTGTCCTCTTCAAATAATGTTGGCAGATTTTTAACAGATGTTACAAGATGCTAGTCACATTTCAGATGTTTTCTTCACCATGCACCAATTAAAGTATTCTAGCAAAAAACTTCTCTGACCAATGTTATATTTTCATTTCCTGTTATCTCTTTCCGGGCTTGCTATCTCTGTTTTTATGATACAGATATGAAATTATTCATTCAATGGGGCGGGGGAGAAAAGTAATCCTCATTAGGAAAGGTAAGGAGTTCTGGAAACATGGAAGGGACTCCATTGGAGCTGCTTGCACATACTAAAATAATCTGCAGAACCTTCAGACAGTTCTTCTGATAAAAGGTTGTGCACTTCAGAGGTTACAGGGTTTCTAGACAGGAAGCAGTGTGCAATCTGCAAGCAGGCCATATATGCTTTGAGGGCACAAACAGGTTTCTGCAACACAGATGCTTTATATGAGCCAGGAAACCTCTGCCTCACCTTTGCTCGCCCGCTCATGTCTATATGCAATGGAACCCACATGTGCAGTTATCACAGGTTGCATGTTAATTCTTACACAGATACTGGGTAGTATCTAACTCAGTCCATTGGTGCAAGGTTTTACACCTGAGCAAAATTTCCTCCCTTGCCTCCTCCCGCACTCCTTTCCCAATCTGCTCTGGGATTTTCCTCAATCCTCTGAAGCAAATTTGGACAAGAATGCAGGGTGCACATCCATAGAGAAGCGGGGCAGTTCTGTTGCACAAGCATAAATCTTTGCACGGATGGGCTCAGTTTGATACTGTCCATACATTTCACAATGTGTAAAGCAGCCTTCACTTGAATTCTTGTTTAGTTAATTTTCTCTGTACTGTTAGGCAACAAAATATTTCAAAGCAGGCATCAGTTCCACCTCAACTTGCATGCAAATATGCAATGGAGCTCTGATGTTATTTTTCTTAAAGAAGAAACTTATGATAAATCACACAAATGGAGCTTGATCATAAGAAATCCCATCCTATCGTGCAATTTGCTAATAAAATAATGCTGTTTTAAGACATTTTGCTGTTTAACTGATAGTAACAGGATGATCAGACTTCACAATCTCATTAGTGTTTATAATTGAGTTGACTACAACTTGAGATGGAGCGTATAGACCTAGCAAGAGCTCGCAGTCTGATGAATTAATGCAAAGCTCAGTCTCAGATGCAAGGAACTAACAAAGAGTGAATGTTTTCTATCTGAAAACCAAGAGTCACAAAGACCAGATTAAAACAGTATTTTAAAACCTTAAACACATATAAATAAAGGTGAAATAATGTAAGAAGCATTTGAATTTTTAACATAAGCAAATGAGCACCTGCTACAGACAATAATACTCCCTGGCTTACTGAACAGGGAGAGCAATGCTCTATATTCAATTTAAATAATCAAAACCAATATGTGAAGTTACAGAAATATTTAAAATAAAATTAATGAGTTTCCAATTTTATACAGTTTTCTTAATTTACTTTTGGACATTTTGTTTCCTAATAAAACTTATTAAGTTTAGTAGTCCTTAACCCATTAAGATGTTTTTTTTATCAGAACATCTATGTAGCAGAAACAAAAAGTTCAATACAGTGGTACCTCGGGTTAAGAACTTAATTCGTTCCGGAGGGCAGTTCTTAACCTGAAACTGTTCTTAACCTGAAGCACCACTTTAGCTAATGGGGCCTCCCGCTGCCGCTGCACGATTTCTATTCTCATCCTGAAGCAAAGTTCTTAACCTGAGGTATTATTTCTGGGTTAGCGGAGTCTGTAACCTGAAGCCTCTGTAACCCGAGGTACCACTGTACAGTCAAACCTCGGTTGTCGAATGCAATCTGTTCCAGAAGCTTGTTTGGCTTCCGAAATGTTTGACAACCGAGGCGCAACTTCCGATTGGCTGCAGGAGCTTCTTGCACTCAAGCAGAAGCAGAAGCAGCGTTGGACGTTCGGCTTCCAAAAAAGTTCGAAAACCGGAACACTTACTTCTGGGTTTTCGGTGTTCGGGAGCCGAAACGTTCCAAAAGAGGAGTTTGGGAACCGAGGTTTGACTACAGTCTCTAAAATCCTAGCCTTATTTAATTATGAAAGATAAAGTTTGGCATTTTCATAAGAATGGTTTCACACCTGGTTTCATTCAAGTAAATGGTCATGCCTGAAAGTCATTCGACCCTTTCATGTGTTGTTTAGTCACTTAATTTATCTTATTTATTTAAGCTTCAATGTACAGAACTTTGTAATGATTTCACACGACAGTAAGATCAATAAAGCTTTGCTTCTAGAAAGCATTCTGTAAAAAAAAGCGTGCACACATTTCAAAGGGATGAAATACCCAAGTTCTGTAGGTGTGGAGGAAAGCATGAAAACTGGACCACTGTTTGGTGTGTGTGTGTGTGTTATAATGGGGAACAGAAAGGAAATGCAAAGCAGCCCAAAATGCTATAGTCAAGCCTTTAAAAGTGTCACATGATTTGGGAATGTGACTTTTGTCTGGTCGCTTTCTTCATTGCCTTGAAAAGGGCTAACCTCTTCCCTATTCTGTGTACTGTCTGACTTGGATTTGCTTTTATGCTTTCAATGAGAGATATCCTGAGCAAACGTAATGCCCTTCTTATCTTTGCTTTCTTACTAAGCTAAATCCCTTTTGCCTTTTAAATGGGATTTTGTTCTCAAGAAAGCATCCTGTTTAAATGGATCATCCAGCTAATACCAAGATATAGTGAGGGGGAAACCTTCATTGCTCAATTATCCCACATAGAATGATTTGTTTCATTACAACTGCATTTATTATAATCACTTTGCCACATGAATTTTAGTTTTGGTTGCTTCTTAGCTTTGGGCAGAGGTAGCCAATGCAATGCGACAAGAAGTTTCAGGGGTTTTTTTAGCTTTCTCCACCTCAGGGTCTCCAGTGGGCAGAGTCCGGGGACCAGAATCAAAGGGGCAGGCTATTTTTTGCTTGGCTTCTTGATACCTTTAGCTATTTTCATCAGGCCATGACCAGATAGTTGGGCTCTTCTTCTGGCCTGCCAGAAGCTGTCCCATCCCATAATTGTGTGCCACCAGGTTTTGCCAGGCTAGGTAGCAGCCCTCAGTTTCCAGGGTCCACATTCTGAATCGGATCTTAACCTCAAAAGACTTGTAAACCTGCCATCTGGGAGGCAGATAAGTCCCTTACAGTATAATAGAAGACAATGCCAATGATTAAGGTCAACAGTGGTTAATTATCAATTGGATGGACAAACACATGGAACAGTTACTCTTTGTTCATTTCCTGGCTCACTGATGGGCCTTTCAGAATACAGAATACAGGAATGGGGCTCATGTGAGAAATTAAAGACCCACTTTAGAGAACAACATTAGTTAGATCGCCTTTAGATGCATCCTTGATTTGAAGCAGAACCATTTCAGGAAAAGGAGGGGATCTATAAATAAGATAAATAAGGGCTAGAGGAGAAGTAACATGAGGAAAATCGAAAAAAATAATTCTTCCAGTAGCACCTTAGAGACCAACTAAGTTTGTTGTTGGCATGAGCTTTCGTGTGCGCTTGCTCAGTTGGGCCTCCCATTGGTAACATGGCAATAGTAATATGGCCTACCTTGCCAGGTTGTTGGAAAAAGTACAAGAAGATAATGTATTTGAATCCTTTAGAACATTTGAAAATACCATAGAAATACTGTATTATTATGATTTTATTTATTTGGGAGGTTATACATTGCCTGTTGAACTGAAATAACTAATCACGGCTAACAATAAAATATCCTTAAAACGAAACAGAAATTACCCAACAGCCAACAAAGATTACCAAAGGAAATAAACAATAGATGGAGCAGAATACACTAAAATGGGGGTTTCTAAGTGGCTCAGCTGGACACCTGCAATGTTCTACATGAGAAAATGGCCCAACAAAACTCCCCTGGTCTATTTCTCTAGGAAGGGTACGAGCCTCCCTGCTGAGAAAGCCCCCAGTTTTATATGGGGAATGTGGTTTGATCGTGCATTATAGCTTCTGTGGTCATTTTATTTCCCCCTACTGCCTTGTTGACTAATGAAAATGAAAATGCAGTGTCTCAAATTTGTGGCTGATATAATTTCAGTGTAGTTCTGCCAAGGATCACTCAAAGGCAGTTCACAAAATCTGGTCTGATTCATACCTACCTTCATAATAATAAATAGTCATGATGACAGGTTTGATCAAGTTCTGTGGCTGATAGCATTTTTGGCAGGTTGCCTCTTCAGTCTTAAGCAATGAGCTTCTAGGTGCCCTATGGGAACAAGGAATTTGCCAGCTCATAAGCAGGCAGGCAAGAGCAAGGAGTGGCACAAACTAAAACAAAAATTCCTTCCCTTAGGACATGCTATGGATCTGAGGTATGCTGGAGACCTGGAAGGTTTTTTAAAATCCAAGCACTCACATGCTTTAATGGCACCACAGCTTTCTGTGGCTTATTCTGTTGCACTGCATATAGGCATGTATGCTTAAACAAAATGGGTGGAAAACCACGTACTTTGTAATGCATTTTGCAGATCACCAAATATGCTGCAGACAATTCTGAGAAAAATCTGATTTCAAAAGGCTGCCAATTCTGCACTCACAGAAAGTGCTGCAACAATTAGAAAGAAGTGGATTCTGCAGGGCTACTCCAGCTCTGCATAGTAGATCATAGTCATATATGCAGTCATAAAATGCACTGCAAAAAAGAGGGCTTGAGCTTCATTTTTTAAATACAAAAGTAAACATTGCCCTTTATAAGGCCAAAAAACAGCACTCTAGTTAAATGCCTATCACTGATACAAGCACTAAGCCCCTTTTTGCAGTGCATTTTATGACTCCTATGGGACGCGGGTGGCGCTGTGGTCTAAACCACAGAGCCTAGGGCTTGCTGATCAGAAGGTCGGCAGTTCGAATCCCCGCGACGGGGCGAGCTCCCGTTGCTCGGTCCCTGCTCCTGCCAACCTAGCAGTTCAAAAGCACATCAAAGTGCAAGTAGATAAATAGGTACTGCTCCGGCGGGAAGGTAAACGGCATTTCCGTGCACTGCTCTGGTTTCACCAGAAGCAGCTTAGTCATGCTGGCCACACGACCCGGAAAACTGTCTGCGGACAAATGCTGGCTCCCTCGGCCAGTAAAGCGAGATGAGCGCCAAAACCCCGGAGTCATTCGCGACTGGACTTAACTGTCAGGGGTCCCTTTACCTTTACTTTATTATTCCTGTATCTTCACAACAGCTTTGTCAGACAGAGAGTTGGTGACTGGTCCAAGAAATTGAACAAAAACAATGATGAGTTAAGGTGGTTTTAAATGAGAAGCTTACACCCAACATTTCTCTGGTGAAAATAGGGACATCCCATTCAACAACAACAATAACAACTATAATAATATTTTTATTATTTATACCCCGCCCATCTGACTGGATTGCCCTAGCCACTCTGAGTGGCTTCCACCATATATTAAAGTATTATTTAACATGAAACAACATCCCTATCCAGGGCTGCCTTCAGATGTCTTCTAAAGGTTGTATAGTTACTTACCGTATTTTTCACTCTATAAGATGCACCAGACCACAAGACGCACCTAGTTTTTGGAGGAGGAAAACAACAACAAAAATATTCTGAATCTCAGAAGCCAGAACAGCAACAGGGATCGCTGTGCAGTGAAAGCAGCAATCCCTCTTGCTGTTCTGGCTTCTGGGATAGCTGTGCAGCCTGCATTCGCTCCATAAGACGCACACACATTTCCCCTTACTTTTTAGGAGGGAAAAAGTGAGTCTTATTGAGCAAAAAATACGGTATCTCCGGGGGGGGGGGTCACATAACTCCATACCCTCCAACATTTCTCGGATGAAAATAGGGACATCTTTAGGAAAAGTGGGACATTCCGGGATCAAAACAGAAAATGGGACGGCTTCTGTAAATCTGGGTCTGTTCCTGGAAAATAGAGACACTTGGCACGGTGTGAGATGCTCAGAGTTTATTGTTCTTGATCAAAGTTGGCAAGATGTTTTTTGTTTGTGTTTTGCTGGGAGCTGTAAAACTCCGCATGCTCAGAGTATTTTTTGTAGACAACAGAAGTTTATGTCATAGTAACTTTGTTAGTCTTTAAGATACCACAACACTTATTTTCTGGTGCCTTATTTCATGACTTATTTTGGGGAAATGGGGGCCCTGTTTTGCAAGCTAGACCAAGGGGCCGAATCACCTTTAATCTTGCCGTGTGCACACCATTTTGGCATGATCTGTTCCAGCAGACACCACCCTGAATCCCATGTCTTGTCTAGGGAGTGCTCCATTTCCAATGCTAAATAAAGTTAGCAACACCTCACAACATTAATTTTTGGCAGCTACATATCTACCCTACCCCTCCCCTTTGCTATAAAGTTTCTTTTTGTAATCCTGAAGGGTTGCATGGAATGAATGTGCTTCGACTGAAATGTCTTTTTTATTATTTGTTCCCGATAAATGTTTGCCCATCCAAGGCAACTCAGCAAACACAACAATGAATTTAGGGAAGTGAAACTGTTTATTAATTCTTACTGTCATCATTTCATCTGGCAGTTACGCAGCACAATAGGAAAGAAGGCTTGCTCAGTTCCAGTGAAAGAATGTTTATTAGGAGAGGTACAAGTGTGCCAGAGGAAGTAGGCCGCTTCTTAAGGTCAGGAAGCACAAGAAAACCAACCATCTGTCTTCTGAAACATCTGAAACATTGTCATCTCTGCAAATGCTGGTGTGGATTTCAGATTAAGAAGATCTTTATTGGGTTAAGAAGGCTGCAATACAGGTTATTCCCCACCATCACCTCAAAAAAGGGAAAAAAACACAGCACCCTAAAATGCCTTTGTAATGCTGCTGGGGGGGAGACAAGATTTCTCAGCAGTTGCAGAAGTCCCTGGCCTAAAGAACTGCAAAGTGAAATTTCTTTTGTGTGTGTGTGTGTAATGCTTTTTATTGATTTCATTAGATCTTACAAGTATTCCATTCATCTTCAAAGCAACACAAGATACACAAAATACATAAAAAAATCATGAACCAACACCCATACATAATGAAAAAGTTTCAACACTATACGTCTTCAGGATCTTAAATCTAGATTAGTCTTTTACTTTTTAAAGGAGACTTCCGTCTACCTCAATATGGGTCTTCCTCCCTTTCTCCCCCCCTTTTTATTGCATCCATCACCTTTACCTGGACATGTTATGTCCAGTACTGTACAATATTTATCAGTCCTGCAATCTTCAAAAAATAATCCAGGCATACTAAAGATTTTAGTAGGGGAAAATGATTCTTTAAATA